GTTGAATCCTTTTTCTCGGGGCGTGGCCAGGCCAGACGAGTGTCCCGGAATCGCTTTTTCATTACGGCCCTTAATTCGACGCGGTCCCGTGCCCTTTTGTAAAGCCTCGTGATTTCGCTCGATCGAACATGCTAATGCGCCGCAGTTTGTTCCGGATGTTCGATGACTTCATCCGTCGGGGGATACATCCGTTCATTTTTACGTTTTGCGTTTTATTTTACATTTTTCTCTCATATATTTTATTACGGTATTTACGGAATTATTCAAGAGTGGATCTCAAATTAAAATTAGAGAGAGAGAAAGAGAGAGAGAGAGAGAGGAAATCAAGAAATTTTTTAAATTTAAAGGAAGAAGGAACTTGTCAGTTGTTCGTTACTTCGTACTCTGTCCCTGAAAGAGAAATTCGTAACTTTATTTGGATTATTTCATTTCGTGGTTACTGTACTGGAATGGAAGCAGCTGCACCGACGATATTGAAAATAAACTTTGACGAAGAGATTTTATACAATACGTCGCATAAATTATCCGTGCATCTGCTCTTCGGTGCGTGTCACTAGACAGAATCATCGTTTAACAACTTTTATTTTAAATTGTATTTAGAAATAATAATTTTCATCTCCGAAATGAGATCGATGATTCAAATATTGGAGGGGGAAAAAAAAAAAAAAATCATTCCTACCCCCGTGGAAATAAAGCTCCGTGGATTATACTCGGTCGATTAGATTAGAGGAATCGTAATTTCCATCCCTAGGAACTTCATCCCCGTAACGAAGACGCTACTTTCATCCTCGAATTCCTCCATTCATTCCTCCTGAAAAGCACGGCGGAGAGCAAGGCCACCGTTTCATTAAATCGGGCATAACATCTGACAAGCAATCTAAGCAATTAGTCAAGTGGCTGGAGCGTGCAATTAAAACCGATTGACCCTCTCCCTCCCCCGCCGTGAAAGGCTTCGATGTTCGCCTCGCCATTCATCTCCATCTCCCCCTTGCGACGTCTGTTGCCACGCATAGATACGATAGATCTAGAGGGTTGGGTTCTGGGTTCGAAATTCAGAGTTTAATTAATCGCTGCGCGAAATTGTTAAGCTTTGCTTCCTAATTATCGCGATAAGTCCATTTGTCCCATTTGGAGTTTGTTTGTCGTTTGGGAATAACCACGGCCAAGAGATCGCTTTTGGAGGATCGATACGGCAGCATGTCGAGTTCTCCGCTTCCTTATCGATACATTTCCTTTGAGGGAATGCGATGGGCGAGAGGAGAGTATGGCTGGCCCTTGGAGGATCCTTGCGATCCTTTATATTTTTTTGCGGGACGTATTCACGTATTTTGCAAAGAAGGATGACAAAGGAGTTGCTCGGATTACTCTTTCGTTATTTATAAGGAAAACTGTTGCTTTTCCATTTTGGAAAGATATTACTTGGGACGACTATTCCGAAAAGTAGCTCATATCTGTTGCAAGACATAAAGTATCAATGTGGTGTAATAAAAAAATAGAGAACGACTTGAAAAATATAAGAGGAAGATAGCCTTGGAATTATGTATTTTAGAAAGATATAGAGTTTGCATTTTACGAATACTTTTCAGTATAAAATATATGTAATGTTATGCAATAAATATCAATTATGAACAATAACAAAAGAGAAAATTCGAATAATGAAACAACAGAGGTTCGATAGAGATTTTTCCTTCATTTTAATAACGTTCGATTTTAAAATCGAACAATTAATCTACTGGAATTCATCAGTTCTCATAATACTTAACCTTCGAGATACGTTTCAAACTACATTTTATTTTCAATCCAAGGCTAAATCAACTCCTTTAAAAAAGAAAAAAAGAAAAAAAAAATCGATCCAACACCACGAATCATCCACGAATATTACCGGACCATCCACGTATTTAAAGGACCCGTGGTTGGCACACGTGTGGTTAATCGGGAACGAAAGTGCGAAAGTGAGCATCGAAGACGGCTCCGGATTGCCCAGTTTCGCCATCGAAACTCGCCTCGGTCCTCGTCCCGTGCACGCGGGGTTGGGGGTTGAAACGTTGCGCAGGGGGTTTCTGTGCGCGATGCCACAGCCAACCGACGCTAGTATCTAGGGGGCTGTTTTCTCCCTCTCAGTTGGCCGCGATTCAGCGCCGGGTGTATGTCCCGCTCGCCCGCCGCGGTTACACCGACGTGAAAACACGGCGAACTTCGTCTCTTCGTTAGTTTTCCACCCTTTTTACTCCCTTCCTTAAATCCTTATAACCTTCGGTGCGCGAAACCACCCTTTCTAGAATCTAACGTCGAATCTTTTCACTTTCACTCGCTGTGCTTCTGTTCCGATTGTCTCGAGAGTCAATTCTAAACAAAGTGTCTGCAATTCGAATGAGTGAGAGAGAGAGAGAGTGAGCGTGTATATGATCGAAAAAAGTGGTACGATATATTTAATCAACGTCGGTCAACGGTGATATAACGCGTGTATATAACGCAGGTCGACGATCCGGGCGTAGAAGGGTCGTTATCGAATGTTTGAGATTCATTGGATTCGTGATTTAACCAGGCGGATAAGTTATGAATGTTGGGGATAATTGGGAGAGTTGACTGATCCCGAGGTAGCCAGGGCAGCTCGTGCCTCGAGGGTATCCCGCTCGATTGGGATCCGATCGGGGGTATAAATAAGAACGTGCCAGTTATTTCCATCGTATATCCGGTTTGCCTCTCTGTCTGTCTGTGTGTGTGTGTGTGCGTGTATGTTCCGGGTGTAGCTGCGACGAAAGATTGATTGCGTTAAAGAGGAACTAGCGCGCGTACGTGAATTCAATTGCTAGGCTCGAATCGGTTTTGGACCTTCGATTCAATCCATCGACCATCTTTCTTCGCATCTTTTTCTTCTCCTTTTAATCTCAAATAGAATCAGATCGGTAAAATCAATGATCGTTAACCAGCTTCCTTCGTACGAAACCTGTCCACCAAGTCTGTCTCTCTTATCTTTGGATTATCGTCGAGATGGAATGAAATCGTGCACGCTTGGTGGACGCGAGTGTACGATCTAAGACAACGTGGATAGGGGAACAGGGTCACTGGTGTTGGAATGTATACAGTAATACGAGTGGAAGTCGCAGTGTAGTTCGAGGGGGTGGAGATGAGACGTCTCGAGGAAGAGGCCAACATCGAACGATCGATCGCAATTTCGAGGATAATTGGTAAAGCCGATGCGGCAGTCACCTCCTCCACGATTGGACCGTGGATTCCCGTTGGTAATGCATCGTGAAAGGATTGCTGCGTGCGTCGCGGCTGATCGTCTTCGAATATGAAAGGTGCTTGCGAGCTCTATTCTCGATCCTCCTCCGTCGACGATATCGATCGAAGGATCGCAGATTTTTCACGGGGGGAAACTCGTGGACGATGTTTCAATGTCGATCTCAACTGGATGCAAATTGTGAAGCAATCGGAGTAATTTGTCGGAGCGAGACTGATGAGTTTTTTACGAGATTTGAGAAAGAGGGGAAGAAAAGTGGATTGTTCGAGATATTAATGGAAGAAATAATTATCTTCCCTTGAAGGAGGATATCAAGTGACTCGAGGCAGTGAAACGATTTCCTTTCGAATCAGTTTGGCCGACGATTTTTGAACGAAGAGAGAGAAATATCATCGATGATTTCTTCTTTACGGAATCGGATTACGAGATTGAAGGGAAGGAGAAATGGGATATTTCGATTTATGGAACGAAGCATGGGGATCGTATAGATTTTATTATGTAAATAACGGTGCATCGACGACGTAAAATTATTTAGGGCGTTGAACCGGTTTAACGAAACGTGTTACGTTTCACCGGGCAAGGTAAACTTGTAACAACATTAATCGAGTGTGTGACCGATACGATTTTATATATTTCCTTTATGGAAGAATTTTAACGAGCGCATGTGAATACAAATATCGATATTACTATTATTTTTACTATTCCACGAAGGATCGTAAAATTTCTTCTTATACTTTTCACGAGTATATATGAAATCACCGCAGCGAAGATGTGCTCGCCACGATTGTGCCAACATATCGGCCGGATTTTTCTCACATCTGGGACGGACGGGTGTACGCTTCTACACACCCGTGAAAACGTTTCTCCCGAATCGAGCGCGCGCTATTAAATCAACAAACAAAACTTCATCCCTCTCTCCTGAAAAATCATCTACATGCCCGAGATTTCTTTCTTCAAAAGGAGAGGGGAAAAAAGTGGAGGAGTGACAAGAGAAACGGAGTGATAAAATCGTCGGAAAATAAGGGAATGATGGAGANNTTTGCATGTAATAATTCGACGATAGTTTTCGAAGTACTCGATCAGAGGAAAT